GACATGCCCGCAGACGACCTCCTACAGGTCCCTCCCCTCAAGCACCATTTGCATCTTAAATTTCCACACATGAAAGTTTTTTCATCAAACTTGTTTAGACGCGTTGATGAAGAGTCCATAGCGGTTTAGTGCGAGTCGGTGGCTGCGGAGGCAAAGTATGCTCATAACCTGATGAAAACACGCTTGGTAGTTTGATGCAAAATTCAACGTGCATGTATTAAGGTCATTAGTTTACAATCTCTTTGCTACTCTTAGACTTCTTTCAATAATCAGTCAATCAACCAATAAGTCACTCATCACTCATTCAACCAATTAATCATGTCGAATGCGACGCCTTGACAACACTACTCAAACGAACACACAGGTCAAATATATATTGGGTCTCTCATCGCGCTTGGGTCTTACCACACGACTGTCTTCGACGTGATAGTCCAGGGCGAACCTCGAAAGACCAAGGTCTACCAAGTGATAGACCAGGTTCAACCTTAAGAGACCAAGTCTACCGATGATAGACCGGGGTCAATCTCGGAAAACCGAGGGTCCAATTCAGCAGGATGAGGTCTACTACCCATAGACTCTTGTCAGACTTTTTGCAGTTAGTGGGGATTGAACCCGTGACCGCTGGGTCAACAAGGCGGATACGTGGCTTTCAAACACGCAACTTTTCCTCCGGCTGACGGTTTTTAATTCGGTGAGATTCTTCTTGCGAAACTCGAATCTGATTTTTGCCACTGGGCTTTGTATTCTGATTCGTGCTGCTAAACGATACCCGGGGTCCCAAGGGTATCGGAAAGACTTTTAATAACAGGTATTACAATATATTCATTAGTTTAAACTAGTATCAGACCACTGTTTCTGCCTCTAGTCGTCACAACTTTGCATCGCTTCAAAGCATTTCTCCTTGTCTCATTACGTTCGACATCCGAAGTAAGGCCCCACAGCTCAAATCCACTTCATCCGCCCATGAGGGAGATGCATACCTTTTTCATCGGACGAGGAGCTCTCGTTGTTGTCTCCCGTAACGTGTTTCCTTTCCAGTGCGGGCTTCCAAAATCACCTCGACCTCGTACTCTCCTTCCTTCAGCTCTCTTGCCCAACTGTCCCCTGGCAACAGGCATTCATCAAAGTCGACCCGATCTGTTTCGTCCATTTCTAGCATGGCACTCGGTCGATCGGGGAACTCTCTAACCCTCTTGAGCTTAAACAGATGTACCACAGGAAATAGCCCTGTACTCCATGCCTAGAGTTTTCAAATGTGGTGCGTGCTCTCCCACCAGTTCTAGAACTCGAAATGGTCCATTTCAGAGTAGAGTCGATTCCATGGCGTACTCTTCTTTCACGCGGTCCAGGTAGAGCCATACTTGAGCTCCTGGCTGAATCTTGTGGTCAACCATCTTTTCGTTATGGGCTAGGATCCGAGTTTGACTGGCCGCTCGCGAATTCTCTATCACCTGGGCTTTAGCTCGCGGATAGTGTTGCTGAATGTGATATCTCCATCTGCGCGTCCAAACCCCCGACGTCGCGTATTTACCACAGGTAATGTAGATTCAAGGGTAGTTCTAGCATCCCAACCATGGACCAGATAGGAGGGTGTCTCCTTCCGCACTCGGTCTTGTGCGGTGTTTATTGCAATCGTTGCATACTCATCCCAGTACCGCTGTCCGACATCCGAGACATACATCTTGATGGACCAAGTCAGGGTCTAAACCATCCTCTCCGCGGTACCGTTCGCTTGAGGTCGATAGGCCATGGTCGCCAGCTGACGCTGGACCACCATGTGACTAAAAGCACGAAAGAAATTCGGCATAAACCCTGGTTGTCGATCGTGACGGATTACCTCACTAGCACCAAGACGGCAAAAAACGCATTCTTGGTACCCTTCGCGAAGCACTAGCCTTGGTCAGCACATATCCCGAGAACAGGTCAACCCAAATCAATAGCTCGGTATTTACTGCGTTCGACTTTGGCAGAGAGTTAATGTGGTCCACTGCTATAATCTGGAAAAGGTACATCGCTTCGACATTTCCCGGCGTCTTGCCCTGCAGGGAAGGTCCGCATTCCACTCACGTTCCCACATACTTCTGTACGCTTCGGAATAAACCTTTCTAATGGCAGTACCGTCGGATTTGGTGATAGGTACGTCTAACACCTTGTTGACCTCCTTCCAGACTTGTGTGGTAGTGATGCAGGATGTCAGCTTGGAGACTTTCGGAACCAGTGAAGAAGTTTAAAAAGTATTTTGTTTCCGAGTATGGGTCTGTGAGTGGTGTTAACTATATGAAGGCGGAGATCTACAAGCGTGGCCCCATTGGGTGTGGTGTGCACGCCACTAAAAAGTTTGCTAAGAGTAATGTACATCTCTTGGGTCTTTACCTGTTGATTCTTGTATAGAATCGTTAGTTCGTTGAACTAAAAGACTCCAGTCTGGCTGTCACATCTCGGTCATCTAATTTGATCCTCAAAATGAGGAAGTAGACTAGTAGCCCCTATTCGCTTACTTCGTAGTCCCTGGCCATCTTACTGCACGATCGAGCAGACTCCATAGACAGGTTGACCCAATCTTTCTTCAAAAATGCTTTCAATCCTCACATAGTCTTCTTGCTCTTGTACCTCCCTGATTCGATCTTCCCGGAGTCGTTGTATCATGTCCTCTTGCATGATCTTTCCTGATATTCTGATGGGAGACCGAGATTGGGTCACTGCAAACATCTTGACCGATAGGCTGGTCCTTGGAAACTAGCAACTTTGGCAACCGATTCATCGCTTTAAGACCTGTTTATTCTTCTTCCGATATCGACTTGATTCCTTTCTGCTGTTGCAAGGTCGTGCTGGCTCCCTGGTCGGCACTCTATTTCCGATCACGTTTTACATACACAACTCCTTGGAACAACTCCTTGGGTGGGCCACGACAACAGCTAATTCAAAGCTCTCGCTCCTATCAAGGACAACCCTGACGCTTTACACTCGATCTCCCCGCTGCATTTGCCGTACCACCAAGTTGGAACCCCCACAGATGATCAATCGCCGTCGTTCCTCTAACAGGTCGAAACCCAGTAACATACCCTCATATTAGGCACCATTTACTGTAGATGTAACGAGGTATTTTGAGGCAGCCTTGACTATAGTCCAATTGGATAGTCTCCATAAAATAGCACTACAGGCTCCACCTCTTTGTTTCACACGGGCCAACCATCAAAACTGATGACGTATAATTCTTCGTCGGGCTTAACAGTGGGTGTCGGCAGGTCAACCACTTGCCGCGCCTGTTTCTTGGGGGCAATTGACGACAAAATCGAGTCCACACTTTCGCGAGGGGTAATACTGGCTGCCAAATCCCTCAGTACTTGTTCTTTGCCCTTCTTGCACTTAGCAATCTCCATAGTCCATTGGATTTCAGTTCCCTTGACGTCCCTGTACCCCGTAGACCTGACCAACCACGCCAATGTTGAATGCCTCGTCAGAACCTTAAGGGGTCGAGTGACCAACATCGTAAAACAAGTTTCCATTATCCGTAATAAAGCCAGCACTTATTTATCCACGTCAATTTAGTTCAATTCGTTGGCCTTGAGGGTCCAACTCGTAAAAGTTACCGGCATAAAAAAGCCACTATGGTCTTGTACCAATGACGCGGATATGGCCCATTCACTCGCAAAAACGATAGCTACTGCTTCTTTGGACGGATCAATATGTTGCAGGATTGGTGGGGTATCAATTTTATCCTTGAGAATGGCGAAAGCTCTTTAAACCTTGGACTACTCTCCTCGTCTTCCTCCTTGGCCGCCACACTGTCACCCGTCCTCAACTTACATAGCCACGCGTGGAATCCACCTACCTCACTTATGGAAAAGACGCTGGTACTGAGGAGACTCAGATTTGTTTGCGATGCGGAAGGCACATGTAAAGTCGGGCTCCTCGGTACTGGGTCGGTGGTCCTACATAGATGACATTCTGATACCGACCGACTCGTGGGATACGTTTTGCGAAAGGTGGAGCGGTTGTTAGATGTGTGTGACGATTGGAATTTATCGACTAGCGCGGTCAAGAGCGTAGGATGCCGAAGGGTAGACTATCACGGTCACCGGTCTGGACCAATTATTATAGCCCACCCAAAGGACCTCCAGCTAGTCCTTGTCGATCCATTACGGCTGACGACATTTGAGGCCATGCAATCGTTTCTTGAAAGTCTGAACTACTACTGTAGATTCATTAAAGATTATGCGGTGTACGCATTGATTAAGAGATACGTGAAAACCCATACAAAGCACTATTCAAAAGTGTCTGATACATCTGAGACGCATTCTTGAGTCCAAATGGCATCCGCAGACATTCTAGTGTCTTCAGCGTGGTAACGAAAGCTGATATCCTTCTCGCCCTTTCGGTCATGCCGACGACCAAAAAGCCACTAGCCATGTCCAGGCAGAAGTACCGCAATGCTCCGTTCAGGTCCTTCTAAAATTCGTTAATCAGACGCATAGGGTAAACCATAAGCTGGGTCAAGTCGTTCACCAACAAATAATCTATGCACAGCCTAACATCAACTCCATTTTTCTTCATAATAATGACGATAAGGCTGGCCCATGCGATGGGTGCTACACGAAGACGACAATGTGATTGAAAACGGCTATGAACATTGTGATACTGGAGAAGATTGTTGCATTATTAGAGCGTAAAACTAGCCCTGGAATACGTGCACGTCACTTGCAACGTTTTGCTCACACTAACTATTGTCTCTGTCCAACAAACCCGACGGACAACAAATTTCTGTCTTTTCTTGATCGAATTGAGCCGCTTTAAAATACAGAGACAAAGATCAAACAAACCCCGAAGCCATTAAATTAACTCATAGTTCCGACACAATCACACTGTAGATTTCAACCAAGCAGGTAGCATCAAAAATCACGCGAAATGCCGAACTTGCGTCGCGACGGAGCTGACGGAACGTCGAACTAACTTCAGGGATGAAGCTCTCTAAGAAGATTTGAACCGCAAAACTCTTCCAAATGGTTAAGATGGCTCCGGTTAAAGCCTTTCTGTGTCTAGCATTAGTGGTAGGTCATCTTAGCTTTTTTGGCCGATAACTCATTTCTTCCTACCATGGCGTCACGCTAACTGGTACGACGGAGAAGATTGACCCACCTGCTACTGCAGTTGTCGCGAAGGAATCACATGCCCGTGATGACAAGGATGATGACGATGATGAAAAGGAGCAATTCGGCTGGGGTTTAGGAGGTCTTGGTGGATGGGGCCTCGGCGGCTGGGGCAGTTGGGGGAGGCTGGGGAGGATATGGACCCTATTGCTTCGGCTTTTTGCGAGGTGGCCTCCTTGGCTGGGCCTATCCGTTGGGCTACTGGAACACGTTTGGTGCGGGTTTGTACGGTGGCGGGTGCGGTCTGGGTGTGCCCTTTGGTGGTCTCTACTACTGCTAAGTTTACATCGACAGTGTTGCAGCTCACAGCTATTTGCTACCGTATCGGTGGCGCAATGCAGCTTCAATAATTGACACTCTCAAATAAATGATGTCTTTTTGTCACGCTTTTACTAATGTTGTTAAGGTTGTTGCCATCGCGCAATAATGAGCTGTTGGCTTTGCTTGGTGCCTTGTCAAAGAAAACAGAATGCTTATATGTTTGGGCTAGATATCAATCATTCTCTGCTTCTGAAACTTAGTCCAGAACTAAAAGCTTCAAACAGGCAAAGCGACAATTTCGTACTTTACAGTAACAATGGCATCTACTTTCGCTATGCGTTTGCTCGGCATTAGTCGCTTGCAAATGGACCCACGCCCTCCCTCGCACGATGGGTGCTGCACGAAGACGACAATATGATTGAAAACGGCTATGAACATTGTGATACTGGAGAAGATTGTTGCATTATAAGAGCGTAAAACTAGCCCTGGAATACGTGCACGTCACTTGCAACGTTTTGCTCACACTAACTATTGTCTCTGTCCAACAAACCCGACGGACAACAAATTTCTGTCTTTTCTTGATCGAATTGGCCGCTTTAAAATACAGAGACAAAGATCAAACAAACCCCGAAGCCATTAAATTAACTCATAGTTCCGACACAATCACACTGTAGATTTCAACCAAGCAGGTAGCATCAAAAATCACGCGAAATGCCAAACTTGCGTCGCGACGGAGCTGACGGAACGTCGAACCAACTTCAGGGATGAAGCTCTCTAAGAAGATTTGAACCGCAAAACTCTTCCAAATGGTTAAGATGGCTCCGGTTAAAGCCTTTCTGTGTCTAGCATTAGTGGTAGGTCATCTTAGCTTTTTTGGCCGATAACTCATTTCTTCCTACCATGAAGTTGGGATGACGTATATTCCATCATCTCCTATCGCCATGTTTGTCGGCACGCCCAACGGCACAAATATATAGATTGCTTTGAATAACGCCAGTCATTTTAATGGAACACAGGAGACTTGCAGCATAGATTAACGACAAGCTTACCGTGTTTACAAAGAAGAAGGGAAGAAATAGCAAGAGACGAATCATGCAAAACTAGAAAAAACGATAGGGCGGCAACGCCGTACACTGCGTTTTTAAACTTCGGTTGAGCTCGCTTTTGTATCACAAAGCAACAGTAGAGAATGACCCACAGCTTCGTCCCGTTGACGAACTCAAGGCTCAGCAGTAGTGCAACCTCCGATCTAATTCGTCGAAGGGTACCTACTACCTCAAAACACTCGAGCTAGTCACGAGAAAAGCGGCTCAAACTTTTGTTATTAAAAATATCCTTGAGGCTGTCATGGTCGATACTGAAAGGAAGACAATGGCTTACTACTTGACTTTGGTACTATGATGCTTTCCATCAATCGATCGAATGTCACGCCGAATCGAACGGCTTTACCGAGAAAACACTTGCAGAAATGTCCAAACCTTTATGAACCTTATCAGATGAATGGAAGCATCGATATTCACTCCACTCACTGCACAATTTGCTTCCAATACAGCAAGTCAAGTACTCTATCTGACTGCATCAATAGTTTCAGTTGACATCACGACCATGAAATTCTCCATCTTCCTCGTCGCTGCCATCGCCATTCTTGGTGTCGTCACAGCTACCGACCAGCCTGCCGTGACAACACCAGCCGAAGCTCTCAAGAAGATTCAGGCGTCCGCCTTACCCGATGGCGTCACGCTAACTGGTACGACGGAGAAGATTGACCCACCTGCTACTGCAGTTGTCGCGAAGGAATCACATGCCCGTGATGACAAGGATGATGACGATGATGAAAAGGAGCAATTCGGCTGGGGTTTAGGAGGTCTTGGTGGATGGGGCCTCGGCGGCTGGGGCAGTTGGGGGAGGCTGGGGAGGATATGGACCCTATTGCTTCGGCTTTTTGCGAGGTGGCCTCCTTGGCTGGGCCTATCCGTTGGGCTACTGGAACACGTTTGGTGCGGGTTTGTACGGTGGCGGGTGCGGTCTGGGTGTGCCCTTTGGTGGTCTCTACTACTGCTAAGTTTACATCGACAGTGTTGCAGCTCACAGCTATTTGCTACCGTATCGGTGGCGCAATGCAGCTTCAATAATTGACACTCTCAAATAAATGATGTCTTTTTCTCACGCTTTTACTAATGTTGTTAAGGTTGTTGCCATCGCGCAATAATGAGCTGTTGGCTTTGCTTGGTGCCTCGTCAAAGAAACAGAATGCTTATATGTTTGGGCTAGATATCAATCATTCTCTATTACTACCCCCTTTTCTATACCTACTCGTTCTATAGCCTGTTATTATTGTTGAAATAAGTATAGTGATCACGTACGATGCGACCCTTCGTACTTCAGGTACGGTCACATCACCTACTTTTGTACCCGTGGTTCAGCCACACCACATTGGTGTGGCAGGTATGTATGTAAAGTACACAACGTCGTGTAATACCGTTACAACAATACTTATTTAGAGTATAGTGACTATATATGTTTACATATAAATAGGCTACAGAGTCTGTAAATAGTGACTAGCACTATGTAATGTGTAGGTAATACTGTTATATTTAGTGTTAGAAGATAAAAATAAATATAAATTAGTTTTAACCTGCTTTATAAGTATCACTGCATGAGCGTATTCCTGAGGAATCAGTATCTTTGATACTAGTCTCTTTGAGACACGGTTGTAACAACCGATAGGCACAATTTTTCAAGCTAGCCTAGTACCCTAAGACGTAGAAGCTCTCTGAGCTTGTCTTCCTCTGCACATAGTGCATAAGTAGCTTGTCTACAGTAGCTCGGATACATCAGCCATCTATCCTGAAAGCATCGCGGGGATGTTTATCTTTATCCGCTCTCAAGGCTAGCCATGTCGGGCTAAACAGCCTTTAGGGCTGCTTTGGTCTTGGAGTAATTCCGTCAAATAGCGTGTTCGAATGGATCTCTACATTCGAGTCTAGACGTGTTCTATGATTAGCATTGATTCACTACTGTACTAACTGCACCATGGCTTTTAAATCGTGCTTTACGAAAAAGGTTCGCAACATTCTTCTCGCTCTCATTTTGAATTAACTTTAACAACTTCTATTGCGACCATCTTTTCTCGAGCGTAGAAAGCTTTAAAGTCATTGTACGGATTGTATCAACAGATCACGCTTCTCGTTCATCATTTATTCTCCTGTAACCCTACAGACCTATGCTGATTTCTATTTCAAAGCTCGTCTATCGTTGGTTTGTAGATTACGCTTACTATTCGGCTACTTCAGCCTCAATAGACCTTCTTCTCTTCGCCTATTGGCCCCCTAAAATCTAATAAAAGAATACACAATAGCTGCATTATACCGTTCCAGCCATTTTAGCATCTGGGTCTTCAATGGTTACACCCCTTCTAAACTGTTTCAGCTTAATATTGCGAGTAAGTACGAGAAAATATGCAGCACCCTAAAAACTGGGTGGTTTTCAGACAACCCTTTTTTGTCCATTTGATGTGAAAGTCACCAAATGTATTTTTTGTTTGTTTTTTCAGTTAATCCCACGCCGCCACCTTTTTTCCTATTTTTGTTATAAGATCGTCACAGTCCTAAAAGTATTCAAGTCAAAAATGGTGCGTAAGGTGTCGTCGTTCTTTTGTTAGTACCTTCATTTCTCCTCTTCCAAGTCTCTTGACACTGTCTTCGTAGTCTCATCTTGTAGATATCTTTTTTTTGTTTCATTTCATCCAACTCTTGTCTCTTTTTACCTTTTTTTGAATATGTTATGTTGATTCTCCCTAGCCACTTCATCTCGACATTAAACGCAAGCTTTCGTCACGATCGGAGCGCGTCAAGAGCGTCGATTTGCATCCAACAGAGCCATGGGTACTTTCTGCACTTTATTCTGGTAGCCTCATGATCTGGAACTATGCAACGCAGTCACTGGTCAAAACATTGGAAGTATCGTCTTTGAATGCCAAGTTTGTCGCTCGTAAACAGTGGCTTGTAGCGAGTTCAGATGATATGCAAGTGCGTGTGACTATAACACGATGGAGAAAGTTACGAGCTTTGAGACCCATAGCGACTATATTCGCCATATTGAAGTACACCCAGACGTTACCGTGTTTCATCGCTTGCGCAGACAATATGACCATCGGGACAAGGATTTTACATGTTCACAAGTTTGAAGGTCATGGACACTATGTTATGATGGTGAAGTTTAATCCGAAGGACACGCATTCGTTTGCAAGCGCATGTCTCGATAGAACTGTCAGAGTCTGGCCTTGGCTCCAGTCATGCCCATTTCTCCCTTGAAGAACACGAACGTGGCGTCAATTGTGTCGTTTTGACCCAGGTGGAGACAAACCTTACCTGCTGTAGGGCAGTGACGATCGTACGGTCAAGGTGTGGGACTACCAGACGAAGGGTATCGTCCACACGTTGGACGGGCATGGCAATCACTTGACATCGGTGTCGTACCACCCAAGGCTACCACTGATCACTTCGGCCTTTGAAAATGGTGCCGTGAGGATTTTGCATTTCACTACCTCCCCCGCGGAGAAGACCCCCCCCCACCTCTTGGAAGAAAGGGTTTTTTCCGGCGCCCCCTTTTTCAAAAAAACACCCCCGCGCGCCCCCACGAAGAAAACTTTTTTTTTTTTGTAGGGGGACAACCCCCCCTTTTCTTTGGGAGGGGCGGGGGCGGCGGCGGCAACCCCCCCCCCCCTAATATTGACGTTTACACCGCCAGTGTCAAGGGAGTGGTGACGGAGACGGGTCTCCAGGACGGCGAAAAACTGCCGCTTGTTTCAAGAGATCTAGGAAGCTGCGAAGTGTACCCTCAAAAAGTACAACACAACGGCAACGGCCGCACGTAGTGATTTGCGGTGACGGCGAGTACATCATCTATGCGGCACAGCAGTTGCGTAACAAGGCCTTTGGTACTGCGCTAGACTTCAGCTGGTCACCAACAGACATCGGCCACTACATTATACGCGAGAACATTTTGAGGCTCACACTGTGTCGCAATTTTAAGAAAGTTAAGAGCGAGGTGCCTCGCGTGCTGTCTCCGAAGGTTTGTTCGGAAACACTGGTGCCATCGGCGTCAAGGGTAATGACGCAAACGCGATGTTTGACTGGGAGGAGCTGCGGCTGATCCGTAAGATCGACGTGGTGGTGAAGAATGTGTTTTGGTCTGAAAATGGCAGCTTCATCGTGCTTGCTAGCGAGCCGAGTTTTTTCGTGCTGCGGTACAACAAGGCAGTGGTGGCACAGTCTTTTGCTGCTGGCACGAACTTACCTGATGAAGGTATTGATGGCGCCTTTGATCTGCTCCACGGAATTTCTGAGAAGGTTGGTACGGGCAGCTGGATTGGAGATTGCTTTTTGTACACTAACGCTGGCGACAGACTCAACTACTACGCGGGCGGGCGGTGAGGTAATGACGCTTGCCCACTTAAAGCAGAAGGTGTATCTGCTCAGGTACTTACCTCGTGAAAACCTGGTTTTTTTGATGGACAAAATGAAAAAATGTGGTGTTACACGGTTTTGTTAGTAATGCTAGAGTACCAAACTGCTGTGGTGCGTCGTGACTTTGAGAGTGCAACGACATCTGCCCAAGATTCCGGCAGACCAAATAAACTACGTGGCCCGTTTTCTGGAGTCACAGGGATTTAAAGAAGAGGCTTTGGCATTAAGCACTGACCCAGACCAAAATTCATCTTGCTGCGCAACTGGCAAGCTGGACGTAGCGCGTGATGTTCTGTTGCTGGAAACTGACAAGGGTGACAAAAGCAGTTCTATGTTATCACCTACCTTGCACTAATTGAATCATTGCCTGCTTGGTGGATAGGCTGGTCAGATTAAGATCAAATAAAGTAAGAGATAAGTACTTCTCTTGTCCGTCGTTATTCGTTTAGTAACACGTCTTTCGAGTTCCGTTCTCTCTGCAGCAACATCCATAAATTGTAGAACTTGTATGTGTGGCGTTCGTTGCAGTTTCTCACGAGTCAATCAAAACCAAGTCTATTTGTTTCCATCACATTTCGACAATAGGTTCATTTCAACTTAGGTACGATAGAAAATGATCTCCGTTTCTCTCATTTAACATTTTGTCAAATTGAAGCAAATGGTAAAGCTCTTTTGTGGAATTGTTGGTATGGCGCGGAGCGCGTTCTCGGTACGAGTAGATGAAGCCGACACGGTATACGACTTAAAGGTCGCTATTATAGCGGAGAAGATGTACCAGTTTCCTGCGAGCGAGCTGCAGCTGTTTCTGGCAAAGAGAGACGCCGGTCGTGGCGCATGGCTGACGGAAGAAGACGTGGTGAAGGGTGGAAGCGAAACCACCGGCTTGGAGAGTTTGGACGTGGTGCGAGCAAGGCTACGGCGTGTGGGGTTGTCGAACATGGAGGTCAGTGGTGTGGGTGAGGAAGACGAAGCAATAAGGAAAGGCACTGTGAACGTGTTGGTGAAGCTACCGGGACATATTTCAGGTGCTGATTTGATTCAACCAGCAGTGCGAATTGCAACGATGAATGAACTGTTCGCGCCAGAGAAATACGCTGAAGAATGCCGATTACTGGATGAATGGGCTATCAATGCTGTACACAAGATTCCTTCCATCTGCGAATTTATGAGGAACTTGGGTGGATGCACTAAACATGGACAAATTTATTGGAGAATGGAAGATAAGCAAGTGGTGTCGGTGCTGCTAGAAGGATGGCTTTTAAAGTCTTCTCCCAAAAGCAGCTACTTTTGTAAAATGATGCAGGGTATCGTGGTGGGCTCGCCGGGCGTTGGCAAGTCGACGATGTTATGCATGATGGCCTTTTATCTCGTTTTCAGCCATAATAAAAATGTGCTGGTGTACCGGCGAATGGTCCAATATGGAGAAAAGTACTGTCTCATTTATATAGGTCACGAGAATAGTAAGGTCGTGCAGTTTACAGTGTCGGAGTGTGACAAAAAGTATGCGACTGCCATATATCGGGAGCTTCGCCAGAAGGGCATATCAAACGTGTGGTTGTTGATGGATGGATTTCTATCCGACGATATTCCTGAGGGTTTAAGGACTTTTAAGATGTTGACAACGTCACAGCAAGTGACTTTAAAGTCAGGAGAAAAAGCAGGTACTTACTGCTGTCTGTTGCCTTGTTGGTCGAAGACGGATCTCTTGTCGCTGGGAAGTCTTATTTTCAACTACACCGTTAACGATATGGAAAAGCGTTTTGCTTACTCTGGTGGAAGCGTACGTGACTTTACACGCGCTGGATTAGTGGGCATACGTAATCAAATTCATAAAGCGGTCAGTAGCGTGGATGATGTCTTCAGCCAGCTATCTAACTCTAATACGTTAACGGGGAGATCTCAAGTTGATCGTTTGCGCCATACGTTTGTCAAAGATAAGAGCGATCAAAAACATTATCTTTACAGGGAGTATTGGGTACAAGTTATCGACTCAGAATATGCTTTGTCTAATCTTTTGTCGAGACTCCAATCGGATGCGCTGTTTCGGATTTATACGTGGTCAAAAAGCGCTGGACCTAAATCACTTACTCGAAGCGTTTTCAAGATCTATATACATCGCCTTGCTGCCGATAAGATGTTGCGCCTGTCCGTTTCAGAATACGATCCGCCCGAGAGAAGGAAACCAAACGAAGAGCGGTATTTTGAAGGGAAGCAGGTGGGCGTGAAAAATGGTGGTGCACTTCACTCCGGAACGGCAAGCGATCATGTGAACGACCTGACGCAATGGCGAGATGCTGACGAGTACGCGTACTGGTTTCCTTTCTGTCATGATTTTCCGAATATTGATAGCATCGTGAAGCTTGAGAGAAAGCGGTCATCCAGCAAGAAGAGTAACGTGGCGTATCTTCAGATCACTGTTGAAGCAGAGCATAAAGTTGATGGCACGCAGTTGCAGAAGATGAACGAGATCTTTTATCCAGACCATGTAAAGAATGCTGGCGATACCGAAGCACCAATCTACATTGCTGTTTGTCCGGATCTTGAATCGTGCAAAGCGCTTGTCCTGAAGCCACCACTCGAAGTTCTTGCAATGAGAAACACGTGCCGACTCTATGTAGGCTACTACCATGAGGTTCAATTTGCCACGGCCACTGACGGCACGATTCATTTCCTACCTATTCAGGAAGCCTTGCCTTCTCCACCATACAACTTTCGAGCAAAGCGATTACGGGAGGAGTAGCAAGATGCTTTTTTGTCATGTGTACTCTGAAACGGCGAACAGACTATGTAAGTTTGATGTAACGGGTTACACGAAGGTGTGTATTGTACATACACACCTTCTTCTCGCTCTCACTTTGAATGAATTTTAACAGCTTCTATTGCGACCATCTTTTCTCGAGCGTAGAAACCTCTAAATTCATTGTACGGATTGTATCAACAGATCACGGTTCTCGTTTATCACTTATTCTCCTGTAACCCTACAAATGTAACGGGGTTACACGAAGGTGTGTATTTTACATACACACCTGCCACACCAATGTGGTGTGGCTGTACCAAGGGTACAAAGTAGGTGAGGTGGCCGTACCTGAAGTACGAAGGGTCACATCGATGCAGAGAGCCACTATACTTATTTAGAGTATAGTGACTATGCATGTTTGCATAATAATAACAGGCTATAGAGCCAGTAAATAGTGACTAGCACTAAGTACAGAATAGGTGCTTCTATATTTAGTGTTAAAAGATAAACGTAAATATAAATCAGTTTCAAACCTGCTCTGAATAGCATTAGTTGCTAGAGCGTTCTATTCCTTTTGTAAGGAATTGTATCTTTGATACTGGTCTCTTGGAGACACGGTTGTTCACAACCAAAAGGCATAAGCTTGTAAAGCTAGCCTTGTAAGAGTTAAGCACTTTAAGACGTATAAACTCTCTGAGCTTGTCTTCCTCTGCACGTAGTTGCATAAGTAGCTTAGCTACAGTAGCTTAGCTACAGTAGCTCGGCTACACCTGGTAGCACTTGTAGTCAATCTCGCACCTGGGTTTGCGACTTCTTCTCTTTGTGAGAATAGACATCGATGAGATGTCAGCGGTTGGCCTGTCACAGGCACAACAGGGAAGGTTGCAGAAGCTGCTCCCTATGCTTGGCCCTAAGGGCGTCGAGTACCTCATCGATCATGGCGAAGAAGAGGTCAACAAGCTGATGAATATAATAAAGCTCTATTTGAGCATGTAAAGGCACAGATGCCTTCTTCTGCACCTTCGTCCATGACGATTATGGCGCAAGAAGTGGTCCGAAAGACCAAACCCATACATATAGCAGTCGATAAGTTGACAACAAAGAAGGTGATGACCTTATGCTTTGGTTCCGACAGGTCGAGTCGGCTATGTTTATAGCTGACATCACCTATGAGCCGTACCGTGTGGGCTTTGCCACGGGCAAGCTGGGTAAGTTAGCCAAACAGTTGGCATTCACATGTGCACCACTGCAAAATGCTTTTCCCACTTGGGCCGATCTGGAAGTTCAGATGACCCGGCAGTGTGCACCACCAAACCAAGCACACCGTAATCGGTCGCGGTTTTTGGCGTGTCGCCAAGGCAAGCGTGAGCTTGCGGCATATGTACAAGAGTTGAGAGCTCTCATTGCTGCCATGGTCATACTGCCATGGTCATAGACGCTATGCCTGAGGCAGTGACCGTCACGGTCTTTATGGAAGGCCTCCGAGTTGGCGTTGCCAGAACGGAAGTCTTCTGGGCAAACTCGTCCTCATTTAAGAAGCTGTTGGAGTGGCATGGGATGCCAAAGCCAACTGTAAGGCCGATCGGCCTGCCACTTATAACTACTCGTCTGATGGGTCTGTCTGTACCCATGGACTGTAGTCAAGTGGAGGATGAAGAAGCTGAGCTTCAAGCTGCGGAGCAGCAAATTGTGCGCAGATGTTGTATCTGCAAGAGCAAAGGTCATTTGATGGCAAAATGTCTTGCAAGAAAGGCATATTTGGCCTCAAAGGCCGAAGCTCCTTGGGTAAACCTCCTGGTTTGCCGCGGGGAAACGGTGGAACCCAGTAGGCGCGGGGCGCCCTACTGGGGAAGAACTATGTTCTGTTGAACCTCCAGTAGGTAGAAGTAAACAGGGCCCAGCCCCAAAGAGATCCGAACTCTCAAAAACGGAACGAGAAGGCAAGCCAGGCTTACTAGTCGTCGAAGGGACAGCTAAGGGCTATGATAAGTCATGGATCATTTTGATCGATTTGGACGCATCTGGCAATTATGTGCGCCGTGCCACCGTGGAAGGTAGTCAGCAGTATGCTGAAGCGCTTGTAGCGCGTGAAAGTGACACAGCCACAGTTCGCTTAGCGACGGGTACGCGTGTTACGGTACCCAAAGTCCCGATGGACTTAAATGTAAAGTTCTTGGACTTTAACAGCATGAAACGCTGTTTGGTCTTAGACCTGAATGCGAGATATGTCTTCATCCTAGGCATGGCATAGCTAGAACGTCATGAGCCATGTATTGATTGGAGGTCGAAGACCTTAGGCGCAACGCGCAATGCTCCTGGTGGGGCTCTGGAGAGTCATGAACCCACCTCTGCTAGGAAGCAAAAGCGCTTTTGGCGCAGATATTGGACCGAGTCGGTCAATATGTTGGATGTCGGGTATCCGACTTTGTAGACACTGTAAGTTTCGAGGACAATAGTCCTGGGCGAGGCCCAATGACTGTCGATAGTGTGGTTGAGAATCCACTAGATGGCACATATGACATGTGTCATGAGAATGATGTTACGTCATTAAACACCGTGAGTAATGTTGGTGGTTGCAAGCCAAGATGTCAGGACATGAGTCCAAGTGACATGAGTGACGAGGAACTGACCCTGGAGGGCCGGGTGAAGTCATCAATGGATGTTGTATTTGAGGACAACGAGATGCATGCACCTAACGACGAGGTACTGACCCTGCAGGGTCGGATGAAGTTATCATGGATGTTATATTTGAGGATAACGAGTTGCAAGGACTTAGTGACGAGATACTGGCCCAAGAGAGTTGGGTGAAGCCAAAAATGACGGTTGTCTTTGAGGACAACAAGGTGCGAACACCTCATGACGAGGCATTGACCCAAGAGGGTGGGGTGCAGTCAGTAGACGAAGTGGTCTTTGACCTTGAGGTGTGTACACCTGTGGAAGCTGATGCGTCGGATGCTGAGAGCATCATGAGTAGCGATGATGATATCGTGAGTGACGGTGATAGCGAACAGCTATATACACTCGTCAATGGATTGACTGGGGTAGTTGAAGAGCCGGTGGCTCTTTCAGCTGTACCCGCAGTAAGTGCTCTCTAGATCTGGACGAGTTGTCCTTTGCCGAGTTTGGCATTTCCTTACGGGCAGGCGACATCGCCGAAGTGGTCGTTATACGGCATGAGGAGGAGTTGAACTCCTCACTCCTTTTGGATAAAGCAGTTCTTGAAGATACCAAGAAGGCGCTGAATGCGCGCAGTGGATCACAGATCCTGAAGGACCCTTCGAATCCTTATTTTCCTTTGTTAAAGGAATATGGAGATGTTGTCTCCAGAGAACCTCCGACGAGGTTACCTCCGGATAAAGGTGTACGTCATGAGATTGACTTGGTTCCAGGAACCAAATACTGTGTGACGTGACAGTGGCCGCTGCCACGAGAACAATGTGACGTCATTGACGAGTTCTTTCGTGTGAAGCACGCGGCGCGCTTGCACTTGCGAACAAAGCGTCAGTGTTCTGACACTTGCTCCTTGAGCACCTGTGCGTTGCACGCACACTTTCTAAGCATCCTTGTGATACGACTCTTGCTCCTAAATCATAAGGTGTATTGCACTCACGTTAAAGCGTTATTTTGTTACGACACTTTCTCCTTAAGCATACAATGCATTGCACTCACGTTGAAGCATTATAGTGTTACGACACTTGCTTTAAGCATTTGAGCATATAAGTGTGTAACACTTGCTCACAAAGCACCGTAATGTTAACACTAGCTCATAATGCACATTAATGTCGAACACTAGCTTATAATGCACATTAGCGTCAAACACTAGATACAATGCATATTTGTGTCTAACACTAGCTTATAAAGCTCCTAAGTGCTCAAAACTTGCTTATACAGCACACTTTCGCTTCACTTTAGCGTATAAGCACCGTAGCATCTAACAGAAGCTTATAAAACACCATAGTGTATAACACTAGCTTATAAAGCACCTAAGTGTTCAACACTTGCTTATAAAGCACATTTTCGCTAAACACTTGCTTTTAAAGCACCTTCGTGCTCAGCACTTGCTTGTATAGCACCTAAATGTTTAACACGTGCTTATAACGCACCATAGTGTTGAAACCTGCTATTATAAAGCCTTTAAGTGCTTAACACTTGCCAATATAGTCCTAAAGTGTTGTACACTTCCGACAAAGCTCCATAGTGCTTCACACTTGCCTATACAAAGCCCCACAGTGTTATTTTTGCTTATAAAGCACCAAATTATTTACCACTTGCTTGTATAAAGCTTTAACGTTATGTAAACTTGCTTAAAAAGCTTCATTATGATTCACACTTGCTTTTAAAGATTCATTATTGATTCACGCGTGCTTACATAGCAGCCAAGTGTTTCACATTTACTTAAACGGACCGAAGTGCCCAGCTCATGCTAATTAAGCCATATCGTGCCCTAATTATTTGCTTTTTGAACTCCCCAAGTCTTTACGCCTTGCGTATTATGTAGACAAAGCCATATATACCGCAATTTTTGCTTCTAAAGCAGATAACAGTACTTTTCACGCGAGAGAGGCACCAGCAACTGCTTCCCAAGAAGGTCAGAGGTGAAGCCTAACTACTGACTTACTTCCACAGCACTTAGTTCTAGGAAGCATCCGGATACTGCTGTCGCCGCTTCGGGTCGTCTCGATTAAAGCTTCAACGACGCCCGGGCAGTCTTGCCGTCGGGGTACCTCGTACTCCCATGAGTCATAAGACTGAGGGTACCCCCTCCACTACACCAGATACTGGGTGTGTCCCTGGTGAAGACGTCGCGCAAATAGACGCTCGACGTGAAACTGTTGATGAACCAGCTCATCAGTCAGCGTTGGCAGGGGTCGGTAACTCATCGATCCATGATCTTTTGGTACGCCCTTGCCGTCCATATGCACCTCCGGTGCCATAATACCCGCCTCCTTCGGTCGGGGGGTATGGCGACAACCTCGAAGTCCACCAAGGATGGGTTGAGATAT